CGAACGGCGCAAATTAGTCTTCGCGCTTATGTCTCCGCGGATAAGGGCTTCGCGGATTTGTGGTGGAACCAGTTAGCCTATAGGGAAATCCGGCACTGCATGCAGGCTGGTTAGAATCCAGGTAACCCAGCCAAGGGAACCAGGTTGGGGAACGTAAATAATAGATTATAAGGACTGGATGTGAAGCTGATCCGTCTTCCTTCCTGCCAGTTTTCAAGATGTCTTTGTAATCCATTTCTGCACTTCAGTAGTTAAGTTGGCTTACTGTTGTTTTACAGTAACGTCATTTTATATCTTTTAAAAAATAAAGCCTGGATAAAGCTGGATTGCTGTTGTCTATCAAAATACCTGCTCAGCTCAAACATCTTTTACATCTTTCTTTCCAACCCCTCTGCTCTTTAACATTTTAAAGACTTATTTTTCTGACATATTCGCTTTTGCTCTCAATTTGGAGAGTCCCCTCCCCACTCTCTCTCCCTCTTTTCAGTTTTCCCAGTTCAGTTCTGCTTCTTAAGCACTTTAGAAAACTTCTCTCAAGTAAAAAAAAAAAACACAACCCAACAAAACTTCTTTTTCGTTTAGCAAATCCCTTGTTTTTATAGTTGAATGGCACCTGTTTGTTTCTGGGATGAATCCACCCCGCAAGAACGTTAATCTTAATTACTACTCTCCCGTCTTCTGAGATTTAGTGTCTTATCTGTAGTTCCTGTTTGAATCCATGCTAGTTTGTTCCTTAACAACAGCTGACTCCAGTTCTCTCCTTCCCTCCCTGCATTTGGAATGGGCTGTTCCAAAGAGGCCGTTTCCGAAATTTGTATCTCTCAATTTTGTGTCCCCAACATTTTGTCACCAGACATGTAAACTGCCCAATGATCACCGGCTTTCATTGAACTTGGGCGGCTTCTCTGAAGTGCCTAGCTGAAGGGGGGGAGGAGGAGGAAGGAAGGAAGAAGGAAGAAGGAGGAGGAGGAAAATGAGGAGGAGGAGGAGGAGTGGAGGAAGAAGAGGAGGAAGACAAAGACGAAGAAGAGAAGGAAGAAGAGGAGGAAAAGGAAGATGAAGAAGAAGAGGAGGAGAAAGAAGGAGGAGGAGGAGAGGAGGAAGAAGAGGAGGAAGACAAAGACAAAGAAGAAGAGAAGGAAGAAGAGGAGGAGAAGGAAGAGGAAGACAAAGAAGAAGAAGAGGAGGAGGAAGAAGGAGGAGGAGAAGAGGAAGATGAAAAGGAGGAAGAAGAAGAGGAAGAAGAAGGAGGAGAGGAGGAAGAAGAGGAGGAAGACAAAGATGAAGAAGAGAGGGAAGAAGAGGAGGAAAAGGAAGAGGAAGACAAAGAAGAAGAGGAGAAGAAAGAAGGAGGAGGAGGAGAGAAAGAAGAGGAGGAAGACAAAGACGAAGAAGAAGAGAAGGAAGAAGAGGAGGAGAAGGAAGAGGAAGACAAAGAAGAAGAGGAGGAGGAAGAAGGAGGAGGAGAAGAGGAAGAAGAAAAGGAGGAAGAAGAAGAGGAAGAAGAAGGAGGAGGACAGGAGGAAGAAGAGGAGGAAGACAAAGATGAAGAAGAGAAGGTAGAAGAGGAGGAAAAGGAAGAGGAAGACAAAGAAGAAGAGGAGGAGAAAGAAGGAGGAGGAAGAGAGGAGGAAGAAGAGGAGGAAGACAAAGATGAAGAAGAGAAGGTAGAAGAGGAGGAAAAGGAAGAGGAAGACAAAGAAGAAGAGGAGGAGAAAGAAGGAGGAGGAAGAGAGGAGGAAGAAGAGGAGGAAGACAAAAATGAAGAAGAAGAGAAGGAAGAAGATGAGGAGAAGGAAGAGGAAGGCAAAGAAGAGGAGGAGGAAGAAGGAGAAGGAGAAGAAGAAGAAAAGGAGGAAGAAGAAGAGGAAGAAGAAGGAGGAGGAGAGGAGGAAGAAGAGGAGGAAGACAAAGATGAAGAAGAGAAGGTAGAAGAGGAGGAAAAGGAAGAGGNAGCCATACCCTTACTGGGAATCGAACCCTAGCTGATGAGAGCTAAATAGCTTGAAATAGATCTATACTAGTCTCCCTTTATTTATTCATCAGCATAAATGCAACACAAATTTAACTAGGCAACATAAAAAAATGGCTTTCTGCCTGGATGGCTCCCAGAGTGAACCGATAAGACAGAAAAGGGAAGCAGTATGCTCCCTCCCATATTTGGGCATACCAGGGGTTGTGACACTATATATATGCCCAAATATGGGAGGGAGCATACTGCTTCCCTTTTCTGTCTTATCGGTTCACTCTGGGAGCCATCCATATATATATATATATGTAATATATTATCTAAGTTATACTTTGTTATACTAACGTTACATCATACTTTGATTATATGAAAGTATTTTGTTATTATCAAATAGCTTTTCAGTACTGTTGAGGAAAATTATGTGACTTTCATTATTAAACAACTGGCAGGAATCAATTTATAATAAGAATAAATTGATATATATTTTGGGATCAAAGAGAAACTTGGCTTTCCAAATTTGATTAATTAAACATTTTCTTTGCAGATCTAATATAAATGGTCCTGGAACACCCCGGCCTGTAACTCGACCAAAAGTTTCTTTGTCACCTCCTATGACAACAAATGGTTTACCAGACAGTTCCGAAAGTAAGGAGCTGGGCCTCCTGCAAACTGAAGAGAAAATGAACAGGTTTGTAAGAGAAATATAATGTGAAACACACTGGTTAGACTCTTGAGATTAACATTTTTTTAAAATCCCATTCTTCCTTGGAAATCTTATATTTTATTTCTATCAAAATATGCCATATTTAGAAAAAACACAGAAAGTTCCTCGATCTAAAACCATTTCTTCAGTGACTGTCCGATGTGAACTACGAATTTACAATCCTAGATCCGAAGTTACGGCTGTTGAAGCACCCGGTAGTTGCATGATCGAAATTTGAGTGATTGGCAGCCCACCAGCACTTACAACCCCAGAGGCACTTCAACCCCAGCACCATTGTTCAAAGCAGCAGTTCCCCTGTAAGCCTGTGCTCACACTTTTCCTCCAACTACGGATGAGGCCTGCTTGGCCTGCTCTCAGCAAGCCTTTTTCTCGATGGCCACTTGCATCATTCTCCAAGTCATACACGCCATTTATGCTTCAAACAACACACTCCATTCTTGCAATGCTTTGGAAAGTCTTCAGAAAGCATTTGAGGAATTCTGAAGCATCATGGGAAAGAGGTGTGCCCTACCTTCTTCAAATAGCAGGCTCATTCTCACAAGGCCTAGGGAGGACCTCAGAAGTTTTCAGAAAGCTTTCCCAAGCATTGCGAAATTGGGGTGTGCTACTTGGAGAATGATTTATGTGCACAATTTTGGAGAACAGCACAAGCAACTTTTTAAGGAGGCCTGCACCTGGCAACATTTAATGAAGTTATATTTAGGCAAAATGGTAGAAGTTACCCAAATCAATAGGATTGATCGTGGCACGACAAAACCGCGCTCGTCAAAATTGTGGTGATAAAATCGCGGCGCTAAAGCCGCCGCGACAACAGCGCGGCAACAGAAGGGCGCTTTAGGGTTAGGTTTAGGGTACTGAGTGCTTGGGAATACACAAATTTGCCCTCCGCGATTATGTCATCGCGGTAGGGTTGCGTTTTTCCTTAGCGCTTCGAACGGCGCGAATTAGTCTTCGCGCTTATGTCTCCGCGGATAAGGGCTTCGCGGATTTGTGGTGGAACCATGGTCAACTCTTGGATTTTGTTCTCTTGCAACAGGGAGAAGAATCTCTTTTCCCTGAAGGGCAGAGCCAATCAAGGGTCCCGGATGCAGATCTACAAGTTCCTCCTGGAGCATTTTACCGACGAACAGCGATTCAACATCACCTCCAAAATTAGCCTAAATGTCCTGGGTACGGCTGAAATTTTAGAGCAGGGGTCCCCGACACCCCCCCGGGGCGTGGCCTATTTGTAACCGGGCCACGGGACGGCACATACGCACT